AAGCCAAAGTCATGAAGCTTTTTCCCTGTGATTTTCTGAACACACTTTTCTCCTAACCCCATGCAATTCACTTAACCCTGTGACACCAGATGTGAAGGGACTTTTTTCCACACACACCAACTCTGCAGCGGATACCAACGGGGTGTCCTATAATTTAACTCAATTCTGACACTTATCTACCTGGAGAGCATCTGATCCCACAGGTTGTAGGCTCAGTCAGTCCTACAAGCCAGCGCCCACTTTGGATGCCAGTCATGAGTCCCAGGTTGTCACCTGTACTTCTGACCAACCATCTGGGAGATTCCCATGATCCGCTCCTCAGAATTGATGGATTTGCTAGCATGGCTCACAGAACTGAGAGAAGCAACCGACTAATTTTTTATACAGACAGTCCCCAAGTGACTGATATTAACTTAATATTAGATGGTAACTTTCACTTAGAATTTTTAAATTTAATTTAATTTTTTAATGCTGAGGATAAAACCCAAAGCCCCCAGCATGCTAGGCAAACACTCTACCATTGAGCTACACCCTCAGCCTGATTTTTTAAATTTTGTATTGGTGCAAAAACTATGTGCGTTCAGTAGAAACCATACTTTAAGATTTTTAATTTTTTTTTTTAGTTGTAGTTGGACACAATACCTTTGCTTTATTTATTTATTTTTATGTGGTGCTGAGGATCAAACCCAGTGCCTCACACGTGCTAGGCAAGGCTCTACCTCTGAGCCCCAGCCCCATACTTTAAATTTTGAATTGTTTTTTAAACACATGGGGTTTTTTTTTTTTTTTAGAGAGAGAGAGAGAGAGAGAGAATTTTAATATTTATTTTTTAGTTCTCGGGGGACACAACATCTTTGTATGTGGTGCTGAGGATCGAACCCGGGCCGCACACATGCCAGGCGAGCACGCTACCGCTTGAGCCACATCCCCAACCCTAAATTTTGAATTTTGATCTTTGCATGGACTAGCCAGGTGCAGTAAGGTGCAATCTGGGGCAGCAAGCCACGGCTCCGAGTCGGCCAATCAGTGGTACACATCAGTGTAATCACTGATATGTACCACTGAGCCACATCCCCAGCGTATTTTGTATTTTATTTAGAGACAGGGTCTCACTGAGTTGCTTAGTGCCTCAGAAAATTACTGAGGCTGGCTTTGAACTCTCGATCCTCCTGCCTCAGCCTTCCAAGCTGCTGGGATTGTTTTTTTCCTCAGGTTGGCTTTGAACATGCAGATCCTCCTGTCTCAGCCTCCCAAGTAGCTGGCATATGCCACTATGCTCTGCTTTTTACCTCAAGCTTTTTAGCTTTCAAAAATGATTGCAAGGGGCTGGGGATATGTATCAAGTGGTAGGGCGCTTGCCTGGCATGCGGGAGGCACTGGGTTCGATCCTCAGCACCACATAAAAATAAAATAAAGATATTGTGTCCACCTAAAGCTAAAAAATAAATATTAAAAAAATGATTCCAAGTCTGGGTGTGGTGTAATCCCAGTGGCTCGGGAGGCTGAGGCAGGAGGATCACAAGTTCCAGACCAGCCTCAGCAACTTAATGAAGTCCTAAGCAACTCAGAGAGACTCTGTCGAAAAATAAAATAAAGGACTGGGGACTTGGAAGCAGTTAAGCATGCTTGGGTTCAATCTGAACAAACTTTTATCAAAAAATAAAAAATAATTGGGAGCTGTAAATGTAGCTGAGCAATAAAGCCCTGGCTTGCCTAGCATGTGTGAAGCCCCAGGTTCAATGCAATTGAAGTATAAAAAAAAATTGTGAAACACTTTATTTCCTGGTGCATCTTTTTTAGTTGACATCTAAATTACAGGATTTTGATCATTATAAAATGTAAAATTTTAATTTTCTAAAGCCTTTTTCTGTGACACATAATAATTATCCATAGTTATAGGGTACAGGGTCGTATCACAACACGTGTCTATAACATGTAATGATCTGATCAAATAACTGGCACAGCTATCATCTCAAACATTTGTCATTCCTCTATGTTGGGAATATTGAAGTTGAAAATCTACGAGCTATTTTGGAATATAAAATTAATTGTTGTCAATCATAGTTATCCAACTGTGCAGTAGAACACTAGAAGGGATTTCTCTTGTCCAATTTTCACCATCCTCTCTCCATGTCTTCCCCTCCTATCAACTGGAAAATCTAAATGGCAGTGCACTTCTGGTGAGTTGAATTGAGGGGGCTTTTCTTTTTTTGTGTTTTGGGGGTGGGGGTGCCAGGGATTGAACTCAGGGGCATTTAACTACTGAGCCACACCCCCAGCCCTTTTTTGTTTTTTATTTAGAGACAGGATCTCACTGAGTTGCTTAGTGCTTCACTATTGCTGAGGCTGGCTTTGAACTCGAGATCCTCCTATCTCAGCCTCCTGAGCTGCTGGAGTTACAGGCGCACACCACTGCACCCAGCTGAGAGGGTTTTTCTTAATTTTCCTTCTACCTGTGGATGAATGTCCCTGTTGCTACAAGGAGACTGAATTGAGCCTCCGCCGTTGGACTCCTATTTTTCTTTTTTATATACTATTAATTTCCACTGTTACAAATGAATACACTTTTGGTAGCTTAAACCAGTAGACATATGCCAGGTCCACCGGTGCACGCCTGTAATCCCAGGGCTCTGGAGGCTGAGACAGGAGGATCGTGAGTTCAAAGCCAGCCTCAGCAACTCAATGAGACTCTGTCTCTAAATAAAATATAAAAAAGGGTAGGTGGGTACTGGGGCTGTGGCTCAGTGGTAGAGCAACCCCCCAGCATGCGCGAGGCACGGGGCTTGATCCTCAGCACCACATAAAGAAATAAATAAACAAAATAAAGGTGTTGTGTTCCTCTACAAATAAAAAAAGAAATTCTTCAAAAAAGGGGGGGCAGGGGATGTGGCTCAGTGTTTAAGCACCTTTGGGTTTAATCCCTGGCATAAAAACAAACAAATACTAGACGTATTGTCCACTCACCATTCTGGACGTCAGAAGTCTGAAATCAGCATCTCTGGGCCAGAAGTGAAGGTGTCAGCAGGGCTGCGTTCCATCTGGAGGTTCTAAAGGTGCCTTGGTCCCTTGCCTCTTTCAGCTTCTGGTGGCTACAGCATTCCCTGGCTCATGGGATCACTGCAGTCTCCAAAGGCAGCACCTTTGTTTTATTTATTTCTATGTGGTGCTGAGGATTGAACCCAGTGCTTCTCACAGGCTAGGCAATCGCTCCACCCCTGAGCCCCAGCCCCAGCCCGGGGCCAGCACCTCTGAACTGCTTTCTGCTCTGGCTTCACGCCACCCTCTCCTATTTGTTGAGATCTCCCTCTGTCTCCCTCTTTCATGGTTGCCTTTGGAGCCCACTAAAACCGTCCCAGACTCCTCCCATTTTCAGATCCTTACCATCACTGGGTGCAACGGTGCACGCCTGTGATCCCAGCAGCTGGGGAGGCTGAGGCAGGAGGATTGGGAGTCCAAAGCCAGCCTCAGCAATTTAGCAGGGCCCTAAGCAACTCAGCAAGACCCTGTCTCTACATAAAATATAAAAAGGGCTGAAGATTAGAGTTGTGTGCCTCCCCATCTGGTTCAGTATGAGTTTTAAATAGCTCAGTAGTTTCACTGGTTTTAGTTTTTTTTCTCTTCGTTCCTTCTTTTTTTTCTCCCCATTGTTATTGTGCTAGGATGGAACCCAGGGGCCCAGGGACTGGAGAACACCAAGAAAGCACTCAACCGCTGGGCTACACCCCAGATTTTGTTTTAATTTTTATTAATGTAGTTAATAGAAATTTTAGAATTACATTCATAGTTTGTATTGTACTTCTACTCTACGGGGACAGAAGACAATTAACACAAAAAATGAGTACATTGTGTTCTATGGTAGAAATAACCCACTTAACCACTCAGTGCTTAACCACCGAGCCACATCCCCAGCCCTTTTTTAAAAATATTTTATTTAGAGACAGGGTCTCACTGAGCTGCTTAGGGCCTCGCTAAGTTGCTAAGGCTGGCTTTAAACTCTTGATCCTCCTGTGTCAGCCTCCTGAGCTGCTGGATTTACAGATGTGCACCACCATGCTTGGGTTATATGGTACATCTTGAGGGGAAAAAAAATAAAGAAAAAAAATTGTCGTTGCTATATGAAATCACCACAGTCTCAATGACTTGAACAAGTTTATTACTTTATAGCTCTCTAGGTCAGAAGTCCAGAACAAAAGCCAAGTTCCTTCTGAAGTCCCAGGGGACAATCCATGCCTCGTCTTTTAACTGCTGGAGTGTCCGCCTTGATGTCCACATCACTCTGATTTCTATTGGCATCATTGCTCCTCTGACTCTCCCTCTACCTTTTGTGTGTGTGTGTGTGAAGTGGGGCCTTCCCAGGCTGACTTGAACTCCAAGTAGCTAGGACTAAAGGCTCATGCCAACAGCATCCCTGTCTCCTTTTTTTTTTTTTTTTTGGAGCTGGGATTGGGTAGGGACATCCTTCTGGGGTGTCATTACTTTGCCTATCACTGAGTCAGGGGGAGTAGATACCGTTCTATAAAGGGCTGTCAGGGAGAGCCTCCCTGAGGTGACATCTGCATAAGGACCTGGAGGGGAGAGAGGGTACACTGAGGATATTAGGGAAGGGCACGCCAAGAAGCAGGAACAGCTCTTGCAAAGGTCCTGAGGTGGCCATTCCCTTTTCCTGGGAAC